TGTTACGAGTCTAGGGAGGCACTTTGTACAAATAGGTGGTGCTTTATATCAGCAAGCATTTAGGCAGTACCACATGGCTACCACAGGAGGTTCAAGGATTTCTCAAACATGGATGAAAGAGTCAAAGCTGTGTATGTTTTGATGAGGGAGTGACATGATGAAAAAATCATTTTTTGCACAACACTCTCCCTTTAATGGATTATCTAACTTAACTATCTGACAAAAATGTACAAAACAAAATAAATTAACATCTGAACTCATTTGAAGTTTGTTTTAAGACAGGTTTAGGAATAAAACTTTAAAAGCTGTTGGATCATTCAGACCCACATACATCTATAGTCCTTCAGCCGCATGCTAGTGCCGAATTGTGATGGCTAATTTAGTTTTATTTAATCTGGATGAGCATGCAGCCTGCCATGTGTGCATGATACTTGAGCTGATGTAGGCAACTGAATTAAGGCAACACTAATTGGATTTTCTTCAGCTTTCTAACTCTTCACACAAAGCATGTGGCTAACACATTAAGATGTAGCCTTCAAAGAAAAAAAGTGAATTCTTTAATTTGTCTGATAGTTTTCAGCTGGCCTCTCACAACATTATCATTTCTACTGTGATAAAAAACAATCTCCTCACAAGCAGGTGTCACAGTGGAAGTGTGATGTGATTTGTGACAACAGTCACATTTCTTTTAATGATAGTTTTAGAGGTGTTGATATTTCCAGAACTTATTACGTTTTCATTAAGTGTTTTTTTTTAGTAAATACAGATTTAAGAAGGATTCAGCTGAGGCAGTTCCACCTCACAGGGGATTCATTAGTGTGCAACACTGACTTCATTTTCAGTGCTGAAAGATTGGTGCGATACAAAAGCTGTTATTTAAAGGTGACCTGTTATGGGGGTCCAAGAGCAAGTTAGGATACAACTGTGGGCTGTACAAAACATGTTCATTTGATTTAATTCACAAAATGAATGTCAGATAATGGAATTTCACCATTTCAGTTCTGCCTGTTTTTTAGCTCTCTTCAGAACGTGCTGTTACTTAAAATAAATGACTACTATAAGCAGATACACAATGTTACAGCAGTAGTAGACAGACTGCCTGCAGTGTAGCCTCTCCCAGGGCTTGGTAAGGATAGACTCTGACTGAAGTCAGGCACTTTGGTGCTGGGGAGGCAAACACACGTCCTTTGCCGATTTCTGGAGCTGGCGAAGATTACCGAGGGGCGGTAAAGGTCTGCGACTAGCAGTCTGGAGACTCCTGCGCCACAGCCCTGGAGACACGGAAGCCTGAAGTTTGTGACATGCACTGGCCTCCCCCGTGTTCTGTCGATCTGTACTCCCTCATCAGATTTTGCTACCGTACTGTACCACAAGGTAGGACAGATTGATGAGTAGCTCAGATTGACAGAACACTGGACAGCACCCCGCGCTGTGCGGCCACTCCAGCAGAGAGACACTGGTGCCCGGAGAGGCAAACACAATTCCCCAGGCTGGTGTTCTGTCGGTCTGTGCTACCAGTAGTAAAATCTGACGAGGTAGCACAGATCGTCAGAACACCGGCAGCACAGTCAACATTAGTTTGTGCTAAATGACAAATCATGTTCATACCGAAGCAACAGCAACACCAAACTCACAACACATCCCTTACCGCCATCATCTGCAGGTTTGTGAGGAACAATAGAGACAGAAGTTTACTTTTAGTAGAAGCCCTTGGGTAAATCCTGCGGATAATAGTTTCTAAAGTAGTCCATGGTGAAATTATTTACACAAACTACAACTTTCTTTGGCAATATTGCTAGAATATTGCCATCCATCAAAAATAAAAATAAAATTGATCCAGGCATCTCTGTTCTCCATGACTGTTGTGAAAAACAGCAGAACTAACTTTCGTCATGTGAAGAAGTGGGCGGAGCCCCCCCTTGGGTTACCAGGTGAGGGGCTGGGCTCAGGTTGGGCTGGGTTGGAGTACGGTTTGTGAGGTCCCAAACCATCGGTGTTTGAAAATAGGTCATTTCAAGACACAAACAAAAGCATTTATTTATAGTAAAAACACCTATGGGTACATTTTTTTGGTGCTTGGACTGTTTTCAGAAGCAGTACAGACCGAAATGTGAGTAAAAAAGTGAATTTTGCACATTTGGTCCCCTTTAAAGACAAACTTAGTGTATAAAGATGATTACACTCTGCAGCAGGAGTAACAACATGTGTCTGTGTTTGCTGGGAATATATCAAAAGCCAACAAATAGACAAAGTCATCCGAGTAATAATGTTACTTGCTGAAATTACCTAAACTACAACTTCAGCAATTTTCCAAAAAGTGTGGAAAAAAAACGTGGAAAAAAAATAACGTTATACATTTATTTTATCAGTTGTTATGATGAGTGACAACTTTTCCTCTGAGCACCAACATCTTAATATTGATATCAAGTTGAAATCTGCAGGATGTTTGGTCAATGTGCGATGGATCATTATTTGATCATTATCCATCAAAATTATATGGATGGTTAACAAAATGTCACATTGTAATATTTCATAGTGTTTTAGGCTGCTTTGGCGTTAGTTAAAAAAAGACATATGTAAATAGTTATCTTCAGCAGCCAAAAGACGGGCAATAATGTTTATGCCCATGTCTCTGTGTGTCTGTCTGTTAGCAAAATTGCACATGAAGCAATAGCAATATTTGAATGAAACTGGCTCATTGGATGAACGTCATCATCTGACTCAAGACGGCCGGGCTGCCACCATATAATACATAATAACCACTAAATATGTCTTTATTTCTGCCAGTTTTACAGACACCGTGCCACGATGTAGTGTGGTTGTTGCTCAGTCATTCATAGCAATTACTAGTGCTACTTTTTGTATAATTTGGCTTCAAAGTCTAGCATTAACTCTTACACCCAATTAACACTGTGTCTGCTCTGTTTCTCTCCACCGTGTTCTGCTTCGCTCTGCTGCTCTCTAATGTACTCCGCTCCAACCTCCACAGTAAAAATAAACTATTATAATCAATGAGAGCATTTACATTTACACTGCATCCACAGGGTGGCAGTGTGTGCAAATTTTATCCTATTTTTGCTAAATGACAGAGAAAGTGCGAAGTCAATCTACAAACATCACAATGAACCAACAGGAAAAGAAATAAGCACAACATCCATATTTTCAAAATAATTCACCAAAGGCAGACTAATTTTGTCAAAAACTTAGCTATATTAATAAATATATGAGTATATTTATACATACATGCTGTCAAAATTTAGCAGAAACAGATGGCAACAGGCAACATGCAGCATATGCACACTTACAAAAGTGTGGATTTTATTTTGCAATATGGATTTAAAAAAGACAATAGCAATGCACAGAATGGATTAATTTGATCTAACTTCCACACTTCCCACTGGATTTATTGCATGGTCTTGCATTTCCCGGGCATGCTGCAGAGCTCCTCTGTGCCTCGCACTGCAGGTTAGAGTCAATGCTGTTCATCTGTTAGTAAAATATTTTATGAACTACTTGACTGATTGTATTAAAAATCTTAGAAAGTTGCCAAACATCTGCAACTAATTACCCTTTGGAGCCAACCCAATCCAAAACGGCAGTCACAGCTGTACATTAATCAATGCAACTATGGCTAACTCAGTTGGTTTAACAGATACTGAGCAAAAATTTGGTGTGGTAGAAGCTGAGTGTCATTTACACCATGTACTCTAAGTGGTACATCTCACATTATTTGCATGTAAATTGTACATAATTTTAAACTGAATCAAGTTTTGACCAAAACAACTACATCTATATCATTTTTCAACATAAGAAAATCATTGTCTAAACCTCCCTTTGACGTGAAAAGGGGCGGRTGATGTGCATTTCTTCAAGAAATGATAGACTTTTTTCACTTTCATTAACATTCATTCACAGATACTTTGCTAATAGACAAACAAAAATACACATACACACAAACATTTACAAGATCGAAAACTTGTCATTTTCATACATTATGTTAGCCTGGTCCTTTCCTTCCTTCGCAATTCCGCTGAATTCTAGTTTCCCTTCACTGCTCCGTCTGGCATAAGGATTTCGCTGGCAGATTTTTAGCCGAACCAATAGGAGAACAGAACGCTGATTTTCTGCGAAGAGTCAGCTTGTAGTTTATTTTACCTGGGCCAATCAACAAACAGGCGGAGTTTTGAACAACGTCGATTTTCTGCGCAGTGCCTGCTAGTTAGTTAGTAATGGCAGTGGAGGCAATAAATGAAGCCAGTCAGTGTTGATAAGGCTTCCAAATTAAATTAAATTGGTCTTACAAAGCAGCAGCCCTCATTTACAGCCATCTCGTTCAGCTCGGTACTTTTCTCCTCTCACAGGGTTGATTACAGTACACATGATTTCCGGTTAGCTTCTTAGCTTAGCCTCCTTCACAGTGACACACACACTCACACACGCTTCAGCAAGAATTGCTTCTCTATAGCCATGAGTCCAGACCCTCGTAAGAAGTTCATCAAGTTCAAGTTTATTTATATAGCACCAAGTCAGAACATACATTGTCTCAGGGCGCTGTACATAAAAAGAATGATCTAAAGAAGAAGCCAGCAGGCTGCGTTGAATCACTTCATCACAGCCTCCCATCCTGAGCAAACGGTGGAGAGGAAAAACTCCCTGCTAATCAGGAAGAAACCTCCAGCAGAACCAGGCTCAGGACAGGCGGCCATCTGTCTCGACCGGCTGATTGAAGCAAAGAAGCAAAGTGAAGGACAAGGGTCTGGTTTTTACCAGGCTAACATTATGTAGTAATGTATGAAAAAACAGTTTTTTTTACCAGGTTTACTAGATAATAAACTGCAGAACACCACAACAAAATGAAAGCTTCATTAAAATCTTGTTAACACTGTCAAACAACTGAGTGACTATGAATGTCTTGTTTCTCTTTGTCTTTTCTTTTCCTTCCTACTGTTCTTCAACCACGGACCTTCATTTTTTTTTTTGACATTCTCCTCCTCCACCAGCGATGTCCCGGGCCACCATGCCGTTCGGGTTGCTGCGCAGGGAGCTGGCATGCGAAGGTTACCCCATAGAGTTGCGTTGCCCTGGGAGTGACGTGGTCATGGTGGAGACCGCCAACTACGGACGCACCGATGACAAGATCTGTGATGCAGACCCCTCTCAGATGGAGAACACACAGTGTTACCTCCCTGACGCACTGAAGATTATGTCCCAGAGGTATGCGTGTGCACACATGATGAAAATATAAAGAAATACATGAGTTTTAAAAAACTGTTCATGGCTTTTTTGATTTAAGCAGTCCAGAAAATTACAGAGCCCGTGAGGGGACATGGGGGATTTATTTATTTATTTATTTTTTTGCATTCCCACGCAATAGTGTTGCGTTACCTCGCAACACCTTTTGCCTTCCCTCGCAAAAGTCGTTTATCACTGTTGTGCCTGCAGGTTTATTAACAAACTCACGTTTACCATTAGCGAGTTAGCCAATTACTTTAATTCAGCTTCAGAATGAATATATCACACAGCCACGGCATGGAAGTATGTCATATACCGACATTTTAACACAGTACAACCACACAACATCAATGTCAATTTCACGAACTTGTGGCGACACATCCTGTTTTGGTAACCATATATTTCAAAATAAAAGTCTGATTTAATTCCGTTCATATACAAAACAAACTTTTGCTTGAGAACGCAAAACAATTTTGCGAGGTAACGCAAAAGTTTTGTGAGGTAACGCAAAGATATTGTTAGGTAACGCAAAGATATTGTTAGGTAACGCAAATATATTGTAAGGTAATGCAAAAGTATTGCGAGGTAATGCAAAGATAGTGTGAGGTAATGCAAAGATATTGCGAGGTAACACAAAAGCATTGCGAGATAACGCAAAGATATTGTGAGGTAACGCAAAGATATTGCCAGGTAACGCAAAAGTATTGCGAGGTAATGCAAAGATATTGTGAGGTAACGCAAAGATATTGCGAGGTAATGCAAGGTAATGCAAAGATATTGTGAGGTAACGCAAAGATATTGCGAGGTAATGCAAAAGTATTGTGTGGGAACGCAAAAGAAAAAAAATCCCCCCGTCTCCCCTCGCGGGCTCTGTAGATAATCAATAGAAACAGTGACTGATTTGTTCACACTCTGTATGTGTGTTGCTGTACATCATACAGTATGTGGGGACTGGCAGGACACACAACACAAAGTCGATGCTTGTGTGTCATGTGTGTGTGTGAATGCCTGGCTGTGTGCATGTGTGTACTCAGAACTGTTTTCCTAGAAGATGGGATCAATATTCAACAAGAGGGAGCACAGACAAATGGAACATCCTTTGCTTCCATTTTCCTGTCTGTTAATCCTTCCTTCCTCTGTTTTATCACTCCATCCATCCCTTCGACTCATCCATCCATCGGACGTTCCACAGATGCAACAACCGGACTCAGTGTGTGGTGGTGGCAGGGGTTGACGTCTTCCCAGACCCCTGCCCTGGAACATACAAGTACCTGGAGATCCAGTATGAATGTGTCCCTTACAGTGAGTACAYATTTATCTGCAATCATCTAACAGTTTAACACTGTGCACACACAAACAAACAAGTACACAAAATGGTTAACACTCTAATGTCAAGAGTTGATGTTTGATCAAGAAACTTCTGATGTCAGCTGTTCCCCTGAAGGCCTGATTGATGTGTAGGGAAGATTGAGATGTGTTTCTTTTGTCCCTTCAGGAAGTGTGAGTGTGTGTTAGTGTTTGTGAGGTACAAAGAGAGAAAGTTGGATGGATGGGTAAAGTAAACAGAGAAAAGATGAAAAATAGAAAACAAAACAAAACTGCAGGGCATTTGCAAAGTGTCACAAAATGTCGCGTGAGCATGTTTGCGTGGGTGAGCGTTTGCACTTGTGCGTGCACGCGTGTGTGTGTTTTCTTTTCCAGATTCACGCCACAGGAGTTGCTCTCTTTTCTCCACAGGAGCCTGATTGAGAGATGGAGAGACCGGGGGGAGGTGGGGAGGGAGGGGAAATGGGGAGGAACGGGGAGGAAAGAGGAGGAAGACGGGGAGAATGTTGGGGCTCTTTTGTGCTTCTTTTTTTATTTTTACATGAAAAATAATGTTTGTGGTGAGAATGAGCTCCAAAAATTCTTTATCTGTGCATCTTTCTTCCTTCTTTTCTTTCTTTCTTGCTTTTTAACTAACCTCTTGCTATTTGTTTAATTTCTTGCTTTACTTTCTTTCCTTCCTTTTACTTGCTTGTTTCTCACTTTTGCTTTCTTTCTTGCTTGCTTTCTGACTCCCCTTCTTTCACCCTCTGACTTTTCTTTCTTTCTCTCCCTCTTTTTTTTCCTATGCTTGAGTAGAAGTGGACCAAAAAGGTAAAGACAAAACATTGTAGCATCTTGATCTCTCCTTATCTTCCCAAACCCCCTTCTCTTCTCTTCTCCTCTTTTCTTCTTCTTCTGCTCTACCTCTATCCTGCCATTTCTCTCCTCCTCCAACACTAGGACGTTGTTTCGTAATCATGCTGGATGTTGCCCCCTTCCCCCTGTTTTTTCCATTTCTTACACAGTTGTTTTTCCCCCCACACACATTTTATCCATCTCTTGGTGTATTCAAAGCCGTCCTTAAATTCTATTTTATCCAGGTTCTGCACCTTTTTTTCCTTCTTTTCTTCTTTCTTCTGCTTTCCTCTCCTCGGTTTCTTCCCCTCATCTCTCGCTCCTGGTCTTCTTCTTTCCTTCAGTCTGTCTTTGCACGCAAATAAAAACACAAGTGGTCGCTCAAACATAACACAACTTTCTTTGAAGCTTTTCTTTCTTTCTTTCTTTCTTTCTTTCTTTCTTTCTTTCTTTCTTTCTTTCTTTCTTTCTTTCTTTCTTTCTTTCTTTCTTTCT